CTAAGTGCATGGGCCACCCGATGGGCCCCCATAGTTTGCGGGCAGAGGGCAAACGGGGTAGTTACCTCGGGCCCCCCAGCAGGGACAGGGCCCGGGGCAGCTGCCCCGTTTGCCCCGCGTTAAAGACGGCCCTGTGTGTGTAAGGAATGCATTGTGTGAATCTGTGTTTGTATGTGTAAGGGCTGCAAGGTGTGTTTCTGTGTATGTACGGGTTGCAGTGTGTGCGTCTGTAAGGGGTGCATTGAGTGTGTGTAATGAATGCATTGTGTGTTTCTGTTTGTGTAAGGGTTGCATTGCTTGTGTATGTGTGTCTGTAATGCATTGTGTGTTTTTCTGTGTGCAAGGGGTGTATTGTGTGTGATTGTGTGTGTGTGTGTGTGATGGATGTCAATCTCTCTCCCCTCCCTTGTCACTCTCTTTATCTCCCCCCCTTGTCACTCTCTTTATCTCCCCCCTTGTCACTCTTTCTTTCTCCCCCCTCTTGTCACTCTCTCTTTCTCACCCCTCTTGTCAGTCTCTCTTTCTCCCCCCCTTGTCACTCTCTTTCTCTCCCCCTTGCCACTCTCTTTCTCTCCCCTTGTCACTGTCTTTCTCTCCCCCCTTGTCACTCTCTTTCTATCTCCCCTCCTTTTCACTCTCTTTCTCTCCCTCCTCGTCACTCTTTCTCCCAACCTTGTCACTCCCTTTCTCCCCCCTTGTCACTCTCTTCCCCCCTCCTTGTCACTCTTCCCCCTGTCACTCTCTTTCTCTCCCCCCTTGTCCTCTCTTTCTATCTCCCCTCCTTTTCACTCTCTTTCTCTCCCTCTCCTCCTTGTCACTCTTTCTCCCCCCTTGTCACTCCCTTTCTCCCCTTGTCACTCCTTCCCCCCTCCTTGTCACTCTTCCCCTGTCCTCTCTTTCTCTCCCCTTGTCACTCTCTTTCTCTCCCCTCCTTGTCACTCTCTTTCTCCCCCCTTGTCCTCTCTTCCCCCTCATGTCACTCTCTTCCCCCTCCTTGTCCTCTCTTTCTCCCCATACATCACTCCTCTTCCCCCCTCCTTGTCACTCTTTTTCTCCCCCCCACTTGTCACTCTCTTTCTCCCCCACACTTGTCACTCTCTTTCTCACCCCCCCAATTTCTTGCTCCCCTCCCCCCCACCTCTGTTGTAGCGTGGCCGAGCTCTGTATCATGGTCCGCGGGTACAGGGAGCTTTTGTTTCCTGTACCCGGCCGGACTAACAGGAAGTGCACACTCAGTAATAGAGGGCTCGGCCACGCTACAGTGAGGGAGTGACAGGAGGGAGCGCTGAGCGCTTCCCTCCTGTCAGCCCCTCTTCTCAGGCTGTGCCCGGGCGGTCCGCCCTCATGGACGCACCGCCCGGGCAAAGCTGCAGCCGCCTGAGGCTCTCTGCAGAGCGCTCGGGCGGCTGCAGCATGGGGGGGCGGCGCTCCTGGCGGCGCCGCTTCCCAAGGGGCGCCCTAGGCGGCTGCCTAGTCCGCTTAACAGGTAGCGCCGGCCCTGAATAGAGGTTACTTACAGGATCATGTAGTGTTGCAGCAGTTGAAGCAGTTAAGTATCTTCCATATGGTAGATCAAGCAGGTAAGTCTCATCAGATTGAAATAATGCAGATAAATACAGGATGTTTTCAGGAGCCTGGATACAGGATGTTTTCAGGCTATACCGCGAGTAGGGGCAGGTCTATTAAACAGTGAGCAGCCTGTAGCTGCTCACTGTTAAAAAAAAAAAAACCCTCCTGAGCCCCCACCCACGACGCGCGAGTGGGGGCTGTTAAACTAACAGGGGGACCTATTGTCCTCCCCCCTGGGGGCCTAAGTATCAATAAGGGGGTGACCTTCTGTCCTCCCCCCTGGCCGCCACCCCTGAGCGGCGGGTGGGGGCCATTAATAAGAATGTGTGGGGGGATCTAATGTCCTCCCCCCGGCCCCCACCCCTGAGCAGTGGGTGGGGGCCATAAATAAAAATTGGGGGGGGGGACCTATTGTCCTCTCTCCAGCCCCCACCCCTGAGCAGTGGGTGGGGGTCATAAATAAAAATTGGGGACGACGACCTACCGTCCTCCCCCCCAGCCTACACCCCTGCACGGCGGGTGGGGGCCCTAAATTACAATAAGGGGGGGACCTACTGTCCTCCCCACTGGCCCACACCCCTGAGCGGTGGGTGAGGGCCCTAAATAAAAATGTAACCCCCCCAGGTGACTAGAGGTCCCCAAACCACTAGTCACCCACCTCCCCCCCAAAATATAACCCCTACCTACCCCCCTCATCCTAAAAATAACGAGGAGGGACCCATATCTAAATACCTGTAAAAAAAAATATATAGACTTACCATTTGATGTCTTCTTTCTTCTAAACTCTTCTTTTTTCAGCTCCAACAAATGCCAAATAAAAATCCATAATAACCGACGCACTTTGAAAAAAAAAAAATAGGAGCGCACATTTTTTTAATCAATTTTCACCTATGGAGGGCTCCGCGCAGACTGAGCTCTGCAGGGCAGGGGAAGGCTTATAAAGCCTTGTCCCGCCCTGCAATTAGGCTCAGAGCACTCTGATTGGTGGGTTTAAGCCATCCAATCAGAGTGCTCTGACAGGTAAATGAAGAGACTGACAGGTAAGTCTCTACATTTACCTTTCACAGCACTCTGATTGGTTGTCTTGAAATCCACCAATCAGAGTGCTCTGTGTCATTTTACACAGCGTGGGAAAGTTCTTTGGAATTTTCTGGATTTTTATTTGGCCTTTTTGGGGGCTGAAAAAAGAAGATTTTAGAAGAAAGAAGGCATCAAATGGTAAGTCTATTTTATTGGGGGGGTAGGTAGGGGTAATTTTTTGGGGGGTGATTTTTATTTATGGCCCCCACCAACCGCTCAAGGGTGGGGGCCGGGGGAGGACATTAAGTCCCCCCCCTTATTGTTATTTAGGGCTCCCACCCACCGCGCAGGGATGGGGGCCGGGGGGAGGACATTAGGTCCCCCCCCATTTTTATTTTTGGCCCCCACCCACCGCTCAGGGGTGGGAGCCAGGGGGAGGACATTAGGTCAGGGGGAGGACATTTATGCCCCCCACCCACCGCTCAGGGGCAGGGGGGGGGACACTAGGTCCCCCTCTTTTTGTTATTTAGGGCTCCCACCTGCCGTGCAGGGGTGGGGGCCGGAGGGGAGACATTAGATCCCCCCAATACTTATTTAGGGCCCCCACCCACCGTGAAGGGGTGGGGGCCAGGGGGTAGGACAGTAGGTACCCCCCAAATTCTCATTTATGGCCCCCACCCACCGTGCAGTAGGTCCCCCCTCCCCTCTTATTTAGGGCCCCCACCCGTCGCACAGGGCTGGGGGAAATAGGTTTTTGGGGGGGGTTTACAGTGAGGAGCCACTGGATGCTCACTGTTTACTAGACACACCCCTACTTGCAGTAAAGCGAGTAGGGGCTGAATTTACTAATACTAGGTGAACAATTTAGGTCTTTCAGCCTTTTGGTAGATAGCTCCCTAATACCGTGGGAATTAGGGAGTTATCTACTAAGCGGCTGCTTATTTTATGTATTTTATGTTATTTTAAGTGATTTCCCTATCCACATTTGTTTGCAGGGCACTTGTCCTACTCTTACCCCCATTTTACTTCCTTTTGCAGCCCTCTAGCCCTTTCCAGGACTTTTTTAGAGGAATTTTTGTGTGTAGCGGAGAGGTAGTATAATCCACAATATCTCCGCTGGTAAACAGGAACAGCATATAATAATCCAGGTAGACAGGTACAATATCCAATAATCCCGGTAGCGTTATAAGAATCCTTCTTTCCCAAGAACTAGACGACACATAGGTTTCCTTAATGACTTTACAGGGGTTGTACAGTAGGGGACTACATGGGGAACTGAACATACAGGATTATTTTCCCACCATGCACTGCTGTACGAGAGGGATACTTCCATAAGAATATCCTGTTAAGTGGATTATCCATCTGTACAGCAGAACCGGTCTTTTTACTCAAAAATGTATAACTTGTACGTTATTCATGCTATTTAACCGAATGACATCTATATAGATAGCTGGGATCTGAGCACATACTTCAGGAAACTACCGCTCAGATCCCAGCATAATTAGCCGAATGCCACACGAAACATAGTTTAATAGGAACTCACAAGAAAACACACAAATGACCAGTTTGAATGAAAGTACCGAAAGACCGGTGGTCCCGAACGGTCTGGAAGTCCAGCTGTGTTCGTGCCGTTGAGTAGCCGATTTTAGTTTCAGGCACACGACGACCAAACACCGCTGGGTAAGTAGGAAAAGACCGGAGGGCATACTATTACGCCCGGCGGCGTTTAGAGCCGCTTAGAATAGGGCGTAATAGTACGCCCTCCAGTCTTAAGGGGTTAATGTAACTGTGAAGCACTTTGGGCAACAACGTTGCAATTAAATGTGCTATATAAATGATAACAGTTACTCCGCCCACTCCAGTTGTAGACTACTGGTGGAGGCAAGAACACTTCACACAATTTCCCCAGAAATTGTAGCGTTTCTAGTTGCATATGTTACTACACACAGGAATATACTGTGTGCAATGTTTCTAATTTTGTTTATAAGAGTTTATTACATACCTTTCAAACATTTAAATGCTTTATTTAGGTTTGTATATTAGTGTAGTGTTTGCTTGCTGGTTTAAAAAAAACAGTCATGTTTCTAAGTGCAAAACAACAAAACTAAGGGGTTCACAATCAGCAAATACTTATAAGTTAATTGATACTGAGTTATTTTTCTTTATTTGTATTAACACAGAAATTTCAGTAAAAGTAAAACTGTGAAAAAAAATTAGTTTTCCATTTTTTTAATATATATATTATTTGCATACTTAATGCTGTTATATATACACATTTCCTTTAAAAATATAATACATAATCTGCATAAAAAGTTATCAGGCACAATCACAAATTTACATCATTTCACTTTATTAATACTTAATGTCAAAATATAATAAATGCACCATCTCCATCAATAATTTTATAGAAGCTATTCTTCCACGGTTTTCACTGCAATGGGGACGGCGATTTCTTCATCAGTGTTCTTGTAGCAGTTAGAGCAGCACCAGAACATTTTATACAGAAAGCTTCTGCTTTCATTAACATCTTTTTCCTTTGACAAAATCTAACAAAGTAAACACAAAATATTAGCATTAACATCTCTACCACTGTGTTCTAAAAATTAAAGGGATCCTACCACCCTCCTCTTCTTCTGCTCATTGAAGGTATGGGTTTAAGAAAGTCCAGGTGCCTTCTTACATTCAGGAATCAACCGTTTTGCAATGTTTTAACCCTGAAATTCAAGCATGTGCCCCTGAAACCTCTGCTGCCCAGCTTTCATCCTCATTCCCTCCACAGAATGAAGAATGTTTCGCCAGACAGCAAGTTATAGACTGAGAGTCAGCTGTCACTTTTAGCCTATCACTGACTGCCCATTGAGAGAAAGTGTATCCCCGGACACTCACAAAATAATTAGCTGAATTTGTTATGGGGGTGGGGGTGTTCTTTTAATCTAATTAGTAAACTATAAATACTGTTTAGTCTGTTACCTCTTTAGGAGCACTGTATGTCTCCCCTGTTGACTCTGAATAATCTTCGGTTATTGTCACCACATTGCACAGAATAGACTATGAAAAGAAAAGAAGAGAGTCAATTCAATGACTTCAAATAATATCAATATCAAAAATATATCCTGAGCCAGGGTCTGATTTCCTATTAGGCACAGTGGGAAGCTGCACACAGTCCCATGTCTGATGGGGGCTCCTGCTGTGTTTGTTGACTAGAACAGAGGCTGCTGTATGATCTCTGTATGCATTCTGATGGCCCCGCCCCCTCTGACGGAACACAGTGATCCCTGCATGGCTCGCCCCCTCAGACTGAACACAGTGATTTGTGCTTGGCCCCGCCCCCTCAGACTGAATATAAACATGTCCTGCAGAGTTAGAGAGAGGACTGGGACCAGAATGGCCAACTCAGAAATGCATGACAGGCACACAAAGCCACACTGACACACACATTATTAGAACATATTTTGGCTTGCGCACACACACACACTATTCATACACTTCTAAACAAACTAGCACACACATGCTCTTATTGACACAGACGTATACTGCTACCCACACTAAACACAAACAGACATTACTACAACACGCTGCTGCTACACACACTGCTACTCATGCTGCTAGCCACACTGTTAAACACGTACACTGCGTGCACACACACACACACACACACTATAAACATGCACACATGTAGACATACACATACATGCATTCAGACATATACATAAACTGTGACACATTTGCACTCAGATATACATACATACTATATATGTGTATATATATATATATATACACACACAACAACACAAATTTACACATTTGAATAGTCAAGTTGCCTTGTTTTTTTGTTTGTTTTTTAGTTTGAATGGGAAGTGAAGATTGGTGGTGATTGAATATACTGGACCTACAGATGCTCATGATGTAAATATATGAAGAGCAAAAATCTATGCAAGACTCGAAGAGCATGAGTATACAATATTATTTGAATTACAATTACCTGGTCCACAAGGATTTTTCTGTCTGTTTGTACTTCAGCTGCAATTTCTTCCTCTTCTGAAAGTTTAATCTGAAAATAAAACATTTAGTATGGTATATAGAAATGTAATAATGATGATCTAGATTAGAAGTTCATAAAATTAAATTGAGAAAGATTTGGTATGCAGCTCCCAGGGAGGGAAACTGAAAGCTTGGCACGGCTATTTACTCTGCATAGTAAATCAAGTGGCAAATGATTTTGCTTTCCATATTATTAAAGGTGTTACCTGTCCTTTCAGTAGTATTTCTTCAGTTTGCATGTCTTTCTCATTCTTCACTTGCGATTTCCAAGTGTTTTTTTGGTTCAATTTTGAAAGTTTTTTTCCCTATACATGGAAATAAAAACTTTTTCAGGATACTTCAATTTACATGTGAGACAATAAAAGAAAACAGAGTATCTGACAATTCTATATATGAGAGAAGAGACTTAATAAAATGTTAACTGCATCCAGTCCCAGCATTCACTTTGCAAAGAAGTAACTCCATCAAAGGAACACACCAAGCACCATAACCACTGCAACATGCTGTATCGATTATGGTACCTCTCCTCTCACCCCGCTCCCCTCCACTGTATGTAGTCAAACTGTTTTAGTATTGTTTGAATATGCACCTGGAGACCAGCAGGTATTGTCCACCACCTCCGTTCCATTACTACTGACATCAAATGGCATAGAACACTAATATTAATTGTTGTGTCTAAAAATTGGACTGTCCCTCTGTGAAAAACGATTATATTACTTTTGCCCACCACTTTTCAAAATAACAATTATCCTTGTAACCAGTTAAATTTTATAATTAAGTACCATTTAAAAAAATATATATTTTCATTTAATAATTTTGAGTTCATAATAAAATGAGATTACTTACTTTCAGTAATGGCATTGCAAAACAAGAAGAAATTAAAATTTTCAAATTCTTTGAATACAAATGCTGCACCAGTGAGTAGAGTACCTTTCTCAAAGCCTCCAAATACACTAGTGAGTTGATTCAGCATAATCAGTGAGTCAAACAATGACGTAACAAATGCAGCATGACATCACTAGATAATTGGCAGATGATCTGCTTATCCAAACACTTTGAGGGTTATTCACTAAAGTGGGAATTCAAAGAGAATTTCTAATTTTAGACAAAAATAGCCAAACTCATAACAAAGCTAATCTGAATTTTTTTTTATCTTAAATTTGAATTCACTTTGAGTCACTGACAATTCTCATTTTACACTTTGGGTGTGAAAACATATCAGGTTTCAAACTTGGAATTACGACATATTTGTATGCTAGATCTACAACTTATTTTGGGGGATTTGATCGGTTCAGAAATTTTTCAATAAATGCATACCATTTACAAAAGAATACTTTCCAGAGTATCTGAAACATTTTTAATGTAGCCATGATATGTGACCATTTTTTACAGGATTCTGAGATACTTTTAATGTTTTTCTGTGTATACTGCTTAAATACTGATGTATGGAGTATCTGCATGTTGCAAGCAATGTATAAATTGTTGACGTCTAACGTTCTGTGACGTAATGACGCGCTTCGACAAGTGTATCGGCTTCCTCAGATCTGCCCAACTCTGACCCACTATATGGGCGTGCACAGCTCAAAAAGTTCGAAAATCCTGTAAAGTCATTGGTTCTACTAAGGAACTTTATGCAAAATACTCTCAGTTCCAAATTAAAACTGTCAAGGGGGAATATTCACTAAATTATAGCTTTAAAATGAAGAAAATTGCAAATCTTTCCATTTAAACCAGAAACTTTGAACATCCATAGAGATTATTTAATAATGTATACCATTTGCTCATTATTCAAACCAAGGAAATAAAGGAAAAACAAAGAGAAAAATGCACAAAACATTTTATAAAAATAAACCATTTAAAATAAATAATTTACAATTTCCACTTTTATAATATTAAAAGTGTAAAATAAGTGGAGCGCAAAATGGCAGAGAAACCTGCCAATAGACCTTATGTGGAAAAGAAAAATTATTTAAAATATATACCTATAAGTTGCAGTAGATTCTCAATAGCATGCAAAGAGAAAATACAATAATAATCATGCAGTATATCAAAATATGATAAGAAATGGTTAGATGCTGCGTACAGTGTGTAAGTTGGTGAGATTTATGCTGGCACAGAGGCTCCTCTACTCACAAGCGCTATATGTCAAATGTCCAGACGATTGCAGCAGTCTGCAGGAATAGTCTCAGAAATCCTACCGGATTGTGCAATAATATGAGTCCGGAGGTAATTCTGGCTGTGTCCGTGTCCCTCAGCTGTGGTCCCGATGAGCCGATAAGCCGGGGAAAATTTTGTCCGGTCGCGGGGTTTGTAGGTGTCGCCCACCTTAGTGACGTCAGTGCGTGCTTACGTGGACGCGTTTCGCCTTCCGGCTCCTTCAGTACATAAGTGATATAGTCTCGACTAGCAATGGGGGAACATATATGGGCAATAATAGTTCCGCCCTCAAGTGTTGCCACTAATTACAAATACATAGTCCAACCTCTTGAAAATAAACAAGGAATCAACTTTTCATCTGAATGCAGTGATGTATTGGTGGTTTAAAACAATTTAAAAAATAGCCATGCAATGATGTATAATACAAACAGCTTTGGCAATATGTATGTCTAATCAATAAAAAAACAATAAAAAAATAAGCAGGAAATACAGATGTTTAACTCACAAATAAAAAATACAAGATAGTACAATAGCATTTTGTTGTTGAGGGGGAGAAAAAAAAGAGTAGATGTTAAAAATATATCATAGAAGACACTGAAAATATGTAGCACCAGACTGAGTTAACATTTTTCAAAATATGTAGTATACAGTCATAGATTGTGGCATAGAAACCATTTGTCAATATAACATATGCAGAATAGGAAAAACAAATAAAGTGCAACCATATATATATATATATATATATATCTCAAAATTAAATAGGAACAATGGAGATGCAATGGATATATGGTACAAATAATAACAAGATGTTAAATTTCAGTAATGCAGGATGTGCATATAAAATATATATATATGTATATATAGACGCAAAACACATACATCTATATGTAAAAAAATCTATCAATGATAAAAATATAGTATAAGACATTATAAAAGATATAATATTGTTGTGATTAAAACTGATAACATAATTAGTATATTAAAGAGAGACATACACATTTATATAACAAATTAAAATTACACCTATTGAAAGGAATTAGAAATGGCACTAGTAAAAATAATTTAAAACAATTACAATGATTTATATAGCGCTAACATATATTGCTGCACTTTCTCTGTTACTGGTAAATAATTCTAACAAAGCATGTTCGATATATGAGATCAGAAGGTGAGGTGGGCAGTGTATAAACGAGCTTACAATCTAAAACAAACAAGACAGCATTTTGTAGTGGTTATGGTGCTTAAAGTATTCCTTTAACCCCTTTACTACTGCTGACGGTTCAGGACCGGAAAAATACCATTGACCGATGACGGTCCTGAAATGTCATAACGGTAATATTTACTTACCCGATCACTGCAGTTCCCCTGGCAGCGATCGGCGTTGCTCCTGGTGAGGAGGGACTGCCTGGCAGTCCCCCCTCAGCGAATTAGGATCCCCCGGCCATGTGATCGCTCTAACAGAGCGGTCACATGGCCGCAACAGGTGCCTGTGTATCTGCCTGCAGGGGGACTGCCTGTGCTGACAGGCAGTCTCCCTGCATGTGTAAAATAAAAAAATGTGTTAATAAATAAAAATATAATAATATATGTGTGTGTGTGTGTGTATAAATATATATATATATATTATATCTAAATAATATTTGTCTATATATCTTATATATATATATATATATATATATATATATATATAATGTCATACTAAGTGTATATTTATATTATTATATACACATATTAATATAAAAATACACTTATAATTAAATTACACACATATATATAATATATATATATATAATAACTATATATTGTGTATATATATATATATATACACACACATATTGTAAAATACAAATAATAAGTAAATAAAAAAAGTTTAAATATTTTTTTTTAATTTTATATATATATATATATATAATATGTTATTGTAACTGTATTTTGATATTAATATATATTTATTTATATCAAAAAACACTTAGAATTAAATTATATATATCTCTATCTATATATATATATATATATATGTATATATAAATAAAAAGAAATAATACAAAATATATATATTCATATACAAAATTACATAAATAATTTCATAAGTATACACGTAGACTTCAGATATATAAATATGTGTATATATTTAAATTCTACTTGCATATTTATGTAATATTTTTACATAATTAAGTAATTTTATTGATTGCAATTTGAGGGACCTGCCTGACAACCCAGGCCGAAAGTCCAGGGAATTTAATTTGCTAGCACTATATTTAACCCTGTAACTTTCTATGACATCCTAAAACCTGTTTTACTCTGGAGACTTCACTGAATACAAATATTAGTGTTTTAAAACAATAAAACATATCACAGCGATGATATTGTCAGTGAAAGTGACTTTTTTGCATTTTTTCAGACACAAACGGCACTTTCACTGAATATGTAATTGTTGTGATACGTTTTACTGTTTTGAAACACTAATATTTGTGTTCAGCAAAGTCACCTAAAATAAAACAGTGCCCCCAATATATATATACACACACACACACACAACATTTTTAGCATAATGTTTAAACAGTCAAAATTTTATTTATTTTTTTGTTTGAAAGTGGAGGTTTGGGGACTCTTGAGAATTTTGGGCACACAGATGCTCATGATGGAAATCAGGCACTGCAAATCTACTATGCAAGTAAGAATCAATTGCATATATAGTTAATTTGACGTTAATTGTCCTAGGCGCAAATCCCCAACAAAATTCACCTCTAACCATCCCATTTCCACTGCTTAACACATCATTTGGTACACTCACAGTTACACTCACATAGACACAGATAAGCAGAGACACACAAACCGACATCCACAAGCACACACGGGCACAAACACACACACAGACAGGCACAGACCCACACATGCTGGAGAGAGCAAATGAAAAACTTACCCACACACACGCAACTTCCTTTTCCAACACATTCACACAACCCTGAGCCAAATAGACCTATCCACACACAAAATTAAGCCACAACACACTCATAATATTCAACCAGCATAAACAAGCACACCCAGCCACCACTACACACAACACTCAGCTACTACAAGCTCCTACACACAACACTCAACCACACATACACTTGTATCTGCAGAACAGAGCCCAAGGCTCTACGAAGGGTCCTAATCTGGCATCTTGCCTACGGCTCTGGGCAACCTTAATCCAGCTGTGCAAGTACTGACATACATACGTAAGCACACATGGACACAGACCATCCAAACACTTATTTTTACAGCACAAATTAGCACAAACAAATGGCATATTTGTTTTTAAAATTTAATAAGATGGGATGCAGAGTGAGCAGGGTTTGATCAAATATAAAGTGCAAAATCTTCAAAATCAAACCGGCTCAACTGTTCGTTTTTTTGCAGCACAAATGAACGGTGCATTTGGTTTTAAAATGTATTAACAGATGGAGCAAAGTGGGTTGGGTTTATAAAAATATAATGTGCCATATTTCCAGCAAGGAAATTTTAATGCTGAACATGTTTTACTTTTACTCGCAACAAGCACTGCATTGTTGCATTATACTATATTAAGTACCTGTTTGCTTAAAATATTATTAACCAAATTTTTATTTTCAACTACACCAGTGCACAGGATACGTACTGTCAACACGATGTGACTTATTGTCGGGGCTGAAATAGAAAGGTCAGGAGCCTTTCTTGTGGACCCGAGGTCGGGAAGGTGAACAGTGCAAGAGCCATCATGGCAAACCCACACATTTGTCATAGAGTCCCCACTTTCCTGCAAGTCTAGGGTGTAGTTGCCAATAATATTCACAGGAATGCCAGGAATCTGCCAGGAATCACGCCTTCACATATATTGTATTTGACGGGTGGGGTCTGATGGCCAGCTGAGGGAAATGATTGGGAGGACGTGTAACCCTTGGGGTTGTTTAATTTTGTGACTAAAGGCCATGTGTTCATTTTGCATTTGCACCATGGAGCAATCTCCATTGCAGTACCTTATCACCTAGCATCATGAGTCTTAAAATCTTTTCACTACATGTTAAAGGGCTCAATTCGCCCCACAAGCGCAGGTTGGCTCTTTCAGTGGGAAAAAAAGCCATGCGTATGTCGTCTTTTATAAAGAGGCCCACTTCAAGTGGGGAGCCCGCCGTAAATTTAACTCCTCCTTTTACCCTATAGACCACCACCTCTGCTCCAAAACAAAAAAGGGGTGTTTCCATTTTGGTTAGCAAACAAGTGGCATTCTCCCTGGTGCAGAAAAAATGTGATAAAGAGGGACTTTTACAATGTTATATTAACAACACTCCCTACACTCTGCTAAATATCTATGACCCCATGATGGCCATGATTTTTATTATAACCGACCTGTATAAATTTGGGGAGGTTGTAGTGGGGTGAGATACCAACTTCATACTTGACTGCGACAAAGATACCACTTTCACCAATGACGTGACATTCCCCTTAACCGCAAGATATAGGACAAAAGCACTAAAAATTATACAGTTCATGACTCAATTATCTTCCAGGCACAGGGGAGGGATTATCTTATTTGTATGGGATTGTCCTGGAACTGAGAGCCAATGTAATTGTGTGTTTGTTTTTACTGTAGTCTACTCTCAGGTCCAGTGGGGAGTGCCCCTTGCATGGGGATTGACATTGACATTGCATTGGATTGACAAAAGGCCGTGTGTGGCACCATTAAAACCAGTTGTCCCACAGCATAGAGCCTCGTCTCATGTTTGTGGGAGAAAGTTGTATCTCTGGTGGTGGAACCCCTCTTCCCATCAGGGTGACCGCCACAATAGCTAACAGACTTTCCACTCTGTTGCTTAATCTGATAACTAACGACCAATCTGGGTTTGTGAGAGGCCGCCAAGGCTCGGACAACACCAGGAAATTAATTACCTTATATGCCACTTGAATGCTGCTAAGACTGGAGGACTTCTTATCACACTGGACGCGGATAAGGCATTCGGCATGCTTCACTGAGGAAATATGTCAAAGGTCTTGGAAAAATGTGGGTTCCCTCCTGGTGTCACAAAGGGGATAATGGCACTATACAACCACCCGACTACTCAGATCCTATCGGCGGGTTTTGTGTCGCAGCTGTTCTCTATCTCGAATGGCACCCACCAGGGATGCCTTTTGTCCCCTCTTCTGTTCATATTATCCCTAGAACTCCTGGCACAGGCTATTAGAGACAGCTCAGATATTAGTGGAATTACCATAGGCAGCACAGAACGCAAGCTCTCACTATTTGCTGATGACATAATTCAAGCAACCCAAGTCAATCACTACCACAGCTAGCCTCTTCCTCCTGGCTCTATATCACACAGTCTAATTTTATAGGTTGAACCGTTCAAAATCCTAGGTGATGCCTGTAACGGCTACCCCAGTGGAGAGGGGGTATCAGCCGTTGGTGACGTCCTTTTTCCCTGGCAAGATGCTGTGCAGTAATGGGGTAGCCTTCTTTCTATCACTTGGATCCAAGTAGATAGAGAGAGGTAGAGCTCTTAAAAGAGCTAGTGATTAGCTGAGCAGGTTCCCTTTCAATAACGAGACAAAGCTACGGGAGATGCCCACAGCCAATTAGACATTACCCAATCACAGAGTGGTTACATCCCCCAGATTCCCTCCCCTCTGCTTGGGAGATAATTGAGTTTCTTACTGTATCTACTCAATTATCTCCAAGCTAAAACTTATACTTTTTATGCATTTTATATAACTTTCTGATTTTTCGGCACACAGCAATAAAACTTATATTTTTATAAACAACACAACTTGGGGAACAACATACTTAAAATTTGTACCGATCCGTTCAGGGGTTCCAGAGATATAAAAAAAGTCTCTTTCGACCGACTGCACGCCTGTTTGCAAGCCCAAAACAGTTCCACAGATTCAGGCTGTGCAGTTGGTCTATTTCTGCCCTGAAAAATGGCAAAGTCCCATCCGAAGGCGGCATTCGAATCGTCAAGCGCACTTCGACTTCTGTCGAAGTATCGAAGTGAAACCGGGGTTGTGTTTCAGTGTTGTTCGATGGTCTCATAGAGGTCTATTTTACACCAGAGTGACTAAGCCCCATTTGAACGGGTGTTCAAATCTTCGAACGGGACTTCGCCTCCAGCCGCAGTGCCGAAGGGTAGGGAAAGGTACAGGTCAGCGGTGTTCGTTGGAATGTGTGGCCAATTTCCGTTGCAGGGATTTGACTGCACACACCGCTGACCGCGTTCAACTGGATTAAAATGGCCGCTGCAACATGTTCGAATGTCGAATGTCGAATGGCGGCCACTTCGACTACTTCGGCACTTCGGCTGTATCCGAAGTGCCATATCAAACATACCAATCCTTTGTACAAAACAGTTAAAGGGCCAGACATAATCTTGGTTCTTTAGGCACAGGCAATGTGGGTGATGGTAAACCAAACAAAATGGTAGCGGTTCCCAGGCAACATGGTGGGGGGTTGTTACAATGCCTATTAACCTAACAATGACAGAACTAACAAACTTGAAATCAACCTTCCAACTAGAATGGCGTGCATCCCACATCACTTACCTAGGTATAAACCTTACTAATACCACGCCAACTCTTTTTAAACACAATCATGGGGGCATGTTGTCTATAACAATTCCCAAGTCCTTTTCGTGTGTTGTTATCCCTAATTCACTTCCATTACGGGTATACGTTGCTTGTGTATTCTTTACGCCGAAGTGCATCTGCCATTTGAGTGCCCAGTCCCCCAGTCTATCTAAATCCCTCTGCAGCAAAGTAACTACACTTATGCTCCGTACATGGGATACACTACTCTGAAACCACAACCTAGGTGAATTATTTCTCCCAGATGCTCCTTTACAGTCTCTACAGTCCATATCCCCTTGGTTACAACTTCAAAAGTGGCGAAAAGTCGGAATCTCTCAAATCTCTCAACTGATGGAAGGTGACAGTCATCGCATTTCCGAACCTTGTGACCCTATTTAACCTACTATTAATATTCATGTATGTACAGATAAAGGGTCTACTCCTCTCCTCTGGTTACGCTTCAACACCCCCGCAGGGAAATACATATATTCAGGAATATTCATGAATAGATACTGAAACCTAAAGCATTGACAGCATGTTATAGACTGCTGGGCAACTCTCTACCCCAAAAACGATTCTCTTTCCAAGAAAGGTGGGAAACAGCTTGTGACATGACCTTTTCAGATGGGGACTGGCTGGATCTCAGAACGCCCTAAAGGGGGTGACACAGTGTTATCACCATGTTGAAGCACACCGCAAACTAGTTGTCAAGATCCTATCCTGACAACCAAACATATTTCTTTTCTGTTTTATTTACTCCAATATCTGTTTTCCACCACTAGTGGCATCCCTAACCACTAGTCTAAGCTCAATCTCTCACACCTGCCTAAGATGATCATCTGAATTGTGCTATAAGAGGCCACACCCAACCTACCTAAGTGCCTTTACATTGATAGTTGTTTATGGTCTAATACAGGCAAGACATATGTGCCTGGCTCATTCTGATACCTGAGAACCTGCTTAGATCTGATTACATTTGATCCATCCTGATTCATCCAAACAACCTGCTTTATTTCAGATTGGACTTTGTTTCCTAATTATTCCTTATTGCTTTGGACCTAACCTGCCTGGACTTTACAAACTTTCCTATTAATTGCAACTCTCCTGAATAACCCTATTCCACCTATCTGGTAACTGTTGTACAACCTCCAAAAAAAAATGAACCTATTTATTATATTCTGTTTATTTCTGTCCTGTTATATTATGTTTGCCTATTTATCTATAATTTCTCTTATAGGTTTCCCATAAACCTGCTTTGAGGCATATTGTCTAAACTTCTATTTCTATAACTACTCTTTCTTTCTTACCTGTAATCCCATTTACAAGTTCTCCTTCTTCTTTCAGCCAATAATCCCGTTTATAGGTTCTCCTTCTTCCTCCTAGCCTATAATTTCCCTTATAGGTTGTGGCGAAACCGGCCTCGCCACGTGTCCTTGGAGGGGGCTGCTTGCCCGCCTCTTGCCTTTGGACTATGGACCAGACTTTATGTGAATGTATTAACCCAGATAGCTATGCCATGGAGCCCATTCGTGTAGTTAAAGACTTCGGCTCCATGGCAATTGAACTGTGTGAATAGGATCTGAGCGCTATTCGGTAGTTTTGTGCGCTCAGATCCCAGCTATCTGGGGATATGTGACATGTCTGTGTTTTATGTATAAAATGTGACTTTGTGTATTTTATAATATTTTAATGCTTTGTGCTCACCATGTGCATAATGGAGTCTTGTGTCTGTCCTGGGAGATAATTGAATTACTTCTCAATTATCTCCAGGATAGAAGACTCTGAAACTGGTTTGGGACGGAAAGCCATGCTTCATTTAGTCACAAAGGACTTTCCCTTAACTTTTGAACCCCTGGTCTGATTCGTGCCATTTTTTAATATGTTGTTCCCCTGAATGGATTGATTATGAAAATGTATGTTTTATGTTTGTGACATGTATATTTTAGAAGTTATAAATATTGTGTAAAAACTGTATTCCTCTGCCGGTGATAATGAGATTACCCATTGTGTTCAGTAATCATATCACAGCAGAGGGGAGGATTTTGTGTGGGAGTGTCTGGGTGTATTGTACGGATTGATTGGTTGTTTTGTAACACCCTGTGGGCTGTACTATGTTTGTGGATTGGGAATAAAAGAGACTGCATGTGACAGTACAGGGAGTTCCTGTTTTAACCCTCAAAGTGAAGTGTCGTCTCATTATTGGGGGAAGGATTTATTGTATGCTGTTCCAGTTTGACTGCTAGGAGAGTAAACCTATTCGTATGGTTCCTATTCAACTGTCTACAGCATTCATATGCTTGGGAGAATTTATTTGTTTCTCCGGTTTGGTGATTGTGGTGTCTGCCAGAGTGCTTGGAGTCCTCAGGAAGCACTAGGAGCATCCTTTAACGGAGGTACCCAGTCGGGGTGCCAGGCGATCCGTTACATAGGTTTTCCTCTAACTTTGATACCTGTAATCTTGTATATAGGTTCTGCTTTCTCCCTTTGTCCCTATTGTTCCTTTTCCCTTTTTATCCTGTTACTCGTAGTATTACCTTGTCTAAACATGCCAAAGATTCAAAATAAATAACCTCAAGTCATGCCCGGAATATGTCTCTTATCTGACCTGCACAAGATCATGACACTAGTGTACCAGTGGTACTTAACCCCAGCTTGCCTTCATTAAATTTACCCCTCAGTACCTCCGTGTTGGAGATGTGGATTGGAGACGGGCACAATGCTACACATTTGGTGGTCACGTGCGACGTTAGGACCACTACGGCAGGGGCGGGCTGGAATGGGGTGCAGGGGGGAAATTGCCCCCCAAGCCGCTCTAAACCCAAGGCCATCCACATCCAGCAAAAAAAAAAGAAAAGCCTGAATCTTTTGCCCCTGGCTGGGGACTTGGATTTTTCAACTTACCTCTCTCCCTGCAGCCAGCAGTCAGTGGAGTCGGCCGTCCGCTCCTGATGATGTCAGGAGGAGGGGGCGTAACGTTCACTGCTCTTCTCACAGGACCGCTGGGGAGTTTGGGAGAAGTGCAGAGGAAGTCACGCCCCCTCCTCCTGACATCATCAGGAAGAGGCTGGCCGACTCGACTGCCTCCTGCCTACACCTCCCTTGCCTAAGGTAAGACTCAGGGAGGGAGGAATACACTTTAGTTTGTTTTGTTTTTTTATCCCCTCCTAAGCCCTGTCCTCTTACTCAGCTCCTGTTCCCCCCCTTCTCTCAGGTCCTGTCCCCTCCTTCTCTCAGATCCTGTCCCCCCCTCTCTCAGCTCCTGTTCCCCCTCTCTCAGCTCCTGTTCCCCCTCTTTCAGCTCCAGTCCCTGTCTCTCAGCTCCTGTTCCCCTTTATCAGCTCCTGTTCCCCCTTCTCTCAGCTCCTGTTCCCCCTTCTCTCAGCTCCTGTTCCCCTTCTCTCAG